GACCGCGGCGGCCGCGGAAAGGGGATTCGCGGGCATTTGAATGACGGGAAGGCATCCGCCGATTCCGGAGCAGTGGTCATGTTCAACTGGGGATCCGTAGGCGGCGCGACCCCGTTCGGATCGTGTGCTCCGGTCCAGATCTGGTCAACTGATCCCGGCGCGCTCCAAAACGCCCAGTTGAATTCGCCATTAGCGGAGATTGGGCGAAAGAAAGCACTGCAAAGCCTGGTGCGCGCAAGCCTCTTGAGACGCGGCTTGAGTCCCGCTCGGCTCGTGCGCTGGCTTTGGCCGTGTTTTTTTCCCCCAGTCTCAGCTGAGACGCTGTTTCTAGCTATTCGGCCCTGGTTTGGAGCACATGTTCGTTTATTTTACCGTTGATTGTGGACGTGACGAAAACCTCCCATGCGCCAAGTTTTCAGACATCAAGAGTTATACATTTTACTCAAGCGACCCTAAAACGGCTTAAATTAGTCGAGTCGCATATTTAGAGCTCAGGATCACCGCTAGGGTTTGTTTCGCAGCCTGTGGTTGGCCTCCAGATGCTCGCCTATTCCAACCAATGTATGGCCAAACTCTCCCAATACAAGGTTCGAGTACCCCCTTTATACACCTTTCAGTAAAAGCGCGGGCGGGCTAGCGCACAGCAGAGCCGTGTCTGCAGAGAGTTTGGTCAATGGGAGGCGCGGGCAGAACCAGGTCGTGCACCAGGCACAGAAAGTGAGCTTGACACGCTCCCTTGGCCAACCAGAAGCCTAAAAGAATCCCCTAGCGGTAATAGCGAGAAACTTTTTTGGTCAAAGGTATATGTTGGTATATGGTTTTAATAAGCGCGCAAGAGTGAAGTGTACTAACTCTTTATGGTTGAAAATAGGGTGCACCTGATGTTTCGATCATGATCATGCAGAAAGGTGTAAGAAACGAATGCGCCGCCCAACTCTGTTTTTCTCGGTCAGAGTGTGACCGCTCTGACGGCAGATTCCGAGGCCTCGGCGCTTGGCGCACGGATGAATTATGTCGATCGCTTTGGTACTTACACTCTTCCACCATGACTTTGGATGACCATGATTGAAACATCACTTGCACCCTATTTTCAGTCACCCAGAGTAACTCTGACGCACTTATCAAGTTCGTTTCTCGCGACCACCGCCAGGGTAATATTTCCGGCGTCTGGTTGGCCACATTCAAATTTGTGAAGACGTCCTGGAACACGCCCAGCCCGCTTTCAGCCCATAGCGCCTTCTCATTTGTCTCCTTTACTTCCCAAGGAATGGCCAAACACTCTACATATACGGCTCTGGCACACACGAGCAGGGCTCTAATCTGGACACTTGGCGAAAAAGAAGGCAAGAAATCCAGCGGCTCTGATTGGCAGGCGCCGTGGTCAAGTGCGGAGTTGGCCGCCAGATTTCTCGCCGACTTTTTCGCCAAGTGTCCAGATTAGGACCCCAGCTCGGAGCCCGTGGAGCGAACCCTGGCGCTGCAGAACCCAGGATCCTGGGTTCAATCCCACCCGTGCCCGTTTCGATCTGGATGAGCTTCGTACCGGCGTGCGGTCCTGTATCACTACTGCGCGATGCAAGTTAAAGACCCCAGGCTAGCAGTTGTACTCCACTGGCTAAATTTCTCATCTACAGCTGGGAGACCCGTCGCCTGTTTAGGCGGATTAATTTCTAAGCTTTATAGACATACACACACACCAATTTTTGTAAGGTATTCAGTGAAGCCCAACCTCCAAAGCGACCCTTTGGCATTCGGTAACACTTCGACATCGCGTGAGCACGCGCAGTCAGAGAAGGACGGAATGCAACAAGCCTGTGTAAGAGGCAAAGCTCCCATAGAAGATTAGGCGTTGCAACAGCTTATACCACGATTTTATTCTGAACTCTGAGAGTTACTGCGGCCACATTCATTGTAGCCGAATTGGAACCCGAGTGTCCGATTGTTTTGTCGAATGTCGTGACGCAGAGCTTGTGTTGAATCTTCCAGTAGCAAAAACTCGACAAATTCGCTTTTTTGAGGCCGTCAGCCGCGAGTAATAGCAACTTGCAGTAGCGGCCGGAACCCGCCCTCTATACAGGAGTGCAGTGTTCTATCGGAGGTGCAGTGGAAAGAGCGGCGGCCACTTACAAAGGCGCCAGTGAAGAGGGACGATGTTGAAAGTCGCGCGAGCGAGACGTGGAACTGCGCAGTTCACTTGACTAGAAGGATTTCTGGCAAACAGGCTTGTCGAAGCCGAGGAACAAGGCGGGAAAGGTGGTACACTCTAGGAAAAAATGGAGGGAAAAGGTAGCAACGAAGCATTTTCCTCCCTTCTACTGACGCGCCCCCCACCGGACACAAGACGAAGGGAGGAACGAAACGTTTTCCTCCTTCTCCGGGCAAGCGGAAGAAAGCTTTCGTCCTCCCGACTCATCTTCTTACGGTTTCGTTTTTCGAGCACGTCGCTCAAGTTGTTTAATAAATGTTGTTGAGTTGATTCAGCTTCAGCGGCAGTGAAGGCCGCCTGTAAATCCGTCTCCCAGTCCAAACGTACACAACATTTCGGTTGCATTGACGTTTTTGCCACTAATTTTACCAAACGAGCAAACGAAGCCGCTAGAAACAGTGAAGACCCTGAGCAGTGTCAGCATGAGAGATCGGTGGCCGAGTGGGCTAGCGCACACCAGCTCGGGCTTGGAGCTGATGCTGGCAGGTGGACATTCCGCTTTACATTAAAGAGTTTAAGACCACTTGAGGGATTAGGTGCAATCGATCGACGTGGGGATAGTGATGTTGTAAAGCTAGTCTCAACAGTAAGCTCCTATCGTACAGTGGCCAATGTGACTGTCGGTTGTCTCCTCCCCGAGAGTGATTGCGCTCTGGGGAAAGGACTGAACATTATAAAAAATATGACGGAAATTGCGTATATATACAGTTTGGAAATTCGGCATTAAAAAAAATTGGTAAATAAAATCGACAAAAAAAAACTGTCCTTTATTTTGATGTTTAAAGGGGCTATGAAACAATTTTTGTACTTCGCGCAAATACCGTTTAGAACGGATCCCTGACGTTAATGACCTATGAAACACGCGTTCGTTTTTCACCCCACGCAATAGAAATCCCAGAAAAAAATTGAAAAAAAAAACGAGGAGCGTTCACCCCCTCAACTCGCAGCCAGAACAAGTTGCCACGTGATCTGGAACCGATTATATGCCGCCAATGTTAATCATGGCCACGCGCTGGGGTTGGCAAAGCAGAGGGCACGCGCTGAGTTCCAGACATTGTTATCGCTCGGCTATTATCGTCGTTGCAGCGATTGGACACGGGCCACTACCCGAATGCTTCTCGAGCTAGTAATTATCACGAGCCCAAATCGAGAGTCCACGCAATGCTCGGGTCCAATCTATGAACCGCATTCAAATATCGTCACTTGGGGTGCACTGCGATCCCCACGTTACGTAATCAAATTTTGCAAAGGAGAGATTGAATGAAAATGATCGCTTTTGTCCTTGAAATTACACCGCAACAAAGGAGTTTCTTGGCCAGTGGCGGTGCGTGCGAGCATCCTTGAGTCCCACTAGTGCCACTAAGCTCGTGTAAGGTGAAAAACATTCCAATTGAATGTCGTTGCACTGCTCCTTTAAATATACTGCCGTTCCTGGAGAAACTGCACTCCAAGTGGCGCGCTGGGATGAGCGCTAGAAGTTTTCGAGCTCGCCACGGCCTAGCTTCGTACACTTAACACTTGCCGCAAGTCGCGGCTTTGACTGCATTCAAGTTGATCGAAAAGCGAATTATCTGTCCGTGAAGCATCGCTTCCAGCTGAGTGAATATCCGCTCTTCAGAGAATAATTCAAAACGACAATTGCAGCCGTGCGCGAACAGCGCAAATTTAAAAACAAACACAACAATAGGAACACTGGCTACGACTTGCCGTGCGGGGAAGCAAGCTCATGGCTTGAAACCGCATTGGAGTGTCTTGATTTAATGGTTTTCAAATAATTACGGCATTATTGAGCGCTTACTTTTTACTTCGAGATTCATCCACTGAGCCATTCAAAATACTCTCAGAGGTATGACATTGCTGGGAAAAAGTCAACATGCTGGGAATATTTTTTGTTGCTTAGTCAGTCACCGAGAAATGCCGTATGCTGAAAACGACCCGTATAAAAGACGGAAACACAGAGCTCGGAACTAGTGATCGAGTTAGTGTGCTGTTGTATTGACGTTTGTATGTGCCGTGTACGTGTATGCGCTCAATGTATGTTCATCTGATGCTTGCAGTATGCACAATATGTGTACATGCGTGTATGATAAAGGTTTCCGAAGATCCCGAAGCGCAATGGTAGTGTGAGCAAATAAAAATATTTTTGTAGAACATGAATTGGGCGGTACCTAGCGCCACGTAGCCTAGCTACTTGCAAAGATGATGATGATGATGATACTGCGGCTGCTCCCTTTATAACGGGCGGGCTCGAATAATCGTGCCCAACCCTGGGGGTGAATTCAGCGCCCCCTGTGTTGTGTATGATGCCACCAATCCTCCAGTCGTCTTTTCGTCTGCTCGATGGTCTTCCAAAAGGCTTCAGTAGTATTGGTTGTCTCGCTTGTTGAGGAGAAGCCCGACGCTGCCGCTAGAGGCGGGACACCTTCGTGTAGTCGGTTCGCCTCTTCGGTGGCAGAAGTGGCAGAAGGTCGGATACCGCCAGAACGGAGTATGGTGTGCTCTGCGGTTTCGCTCTCACCCTCGCATACTAGGCATACAGTCGACTGCACACTATTGTCGAAGCGCTGTTTGTACACCAGTGTGAGCAGGGCTCCAGCACGAGCCTCGAACAATAGGCGGCTTCCCAAGCTGTTGTCGTACAGCCGCGTCTCTGCCGTGATTTGCTGTTTTAACTCCGCATTCAAAGACGTCGTCGGGACGCCACCTATTAGCCCGACTACACATCCATCACCTAACACTGACAGAAGAGCGCGTACGCATCCCCGAAGTCTGGAGATGCGCCCTGCACTTGCGCCCTCTTCCAGCCAACATGACACGTGACGACCACAGTGGCAGGCGCCTTGCGCGGGCGGAGGCACTGGCCCGCCACTATGGGTCCAAACCCGGAATCTTCTATGTGGACGCCTCCGGCCCTCACCATGGGGGGAGGTACACGGCTGCAGTCGTCCACCAAAACGTCCTGGTGAACGGCCTTACGTTCAGAGCTAAAGACATAACACATGCGGAGGAGATCGCCATCGCTCTAGCCGCCGCAGACCAGGACTCGAGAGTCATCATCACCGACTCGAGAGGGGCCTGCAGAAATATTGAACAGGGGTACATTCCTCTCTTTGCGTATCGCATCCTTAAAGATAGTGACTACCTCGGGGCCCCCGCGTCTCGAACGATCGTCTGGGCTCCTGCTCACATGGGCCTCGAAGGCAACGAAACGGCAGACGCCGCCGCCCGCGCGCTCACTCTCCGGGCAACGCCTTCAGACCCTTCTGAAATGGATCCCGAACCCGATCCAGCCCTCACTTTTCGAGAAATTACTCAATTATACCGATTCGGCCACGCAATTTATCCTAAGCCCTGTAAGGGCCTTACAAAGGCGGAGGAACGCACACTCCTCCGTCTCTACACCAAAACCCTGCTGTGCCCGGCAGTTTTAAAACACTTTGATCCTGCTTATACAGGAAAATGCCCGCACTGTGCGGAGAAGTCTTCGGACATCTTCCACATGGTGTGGGCATGCCAATCAACCCCGAACCTCGTCCCAAAACCCAACCCCACCCGGGAGGACTGGGAGGCAGCCCTGCTCGACTGCTCCGACCTGGAGGGCCAGGAGGCCCTGGTTGACCGAGCCCGAACCGCGGCAGTCGCCAATGGGCTCCTGTACTGAGGAGTCCACCTAGTGCTTGTGAGAGATGGCCCCCTCCGGGCCACCTCAAACTACCTCCCTCATGATATACCTTTAATAAAGTTTTTCATACATACATACATACATGGTAAGGGTTGACTTTGTCCGGGCAGCCTCCAGTTATTGCACATTCTCCTGTTCGCGGACCCTCTTCCGCACCACAGGCTCCCATTTTTTCTCTGTGGTCGCCTCCACCGGTTCTGTGAAGAAGCCGAACTTTTTCTCAAGCTGGTAGAGGCGCTTTCGCCAACGGCTCTGCAGAGAAGTCATATGTATGTATATGAACAACCTCTTGGCCCAGCGGCACCGGTCCATGAGTCGAAGCCGCCCGTCATAGGAAACCTTGCTTGTCGCCTCCCTCGCTTCGAAAGACGACCAGCACAGGTCCCCCTGCACTGCCTCATTCGCCACCGTGCCATGGCATCCCAGCGCTTGGCGTCCCACTTCTCGTTGTCTGCGCTCCAAGGCGGTTCTTGTGTCACCTGGTACACACACCACTGCGTTGGCGAACGTCAAACCTGGCACCACCACCGCCTTCCACATTTCGCGGCTCACTATGAATCTATTACAGCTCCATAGGCTGCGCTTACGGAGGATGTTAGCTCCCCGTGTGGCGGATTGACGGAGGTGGACGTAATGCTCTTTCAGGTAGTCTGCCTCGTTGGACAACTCAACGCCTAGGTACTTATACTTATTCAGTACCGGTAATACGTCAAGCCCTAATCTGAGGCTATCGAGCTTTTCTTTCTCAGTGCCCGCGAATTGTATCACGGCGGACTTGGATGTGTTGTACTTGAGACCAAGCACGGCAGCCTCATCAGCACATATGTAGAGAAGTTGCTGCATCGCCGTTGCACTGCTTTTACTCTCTGCTTGACCCTGGCATCTGGTGGCAAGCGATTTAACCTTGTTTCACACTACACGATAATTTCTGGTTACCCTGTAACAGCGGCTTCGAGTTTGTTTGCAACGCTGAAATGTTTCGTTGAGCATCTTTTTAAAGGGGCGATGCAACGATATTCGGTTGGAATATTTTTCACTTTACACGAGCTTACTGGCACTAGTGGGACTCAATGATACTCGCACGCAACGCCACTGGCCAAAAAACTCCTTTGTTACGATGTAATTTCAAGGACAAAAGCGATCATTTTCATTCAATATCTCCTTTGCAAAATTCGATGACGTAACGTGGGGATTGAAGTACACCCAAATGACGATATTTGAATGCGATTCATAGATTGGACCCGAGCATTTCGTGAGCACTTGATTTAGGCTCGTGATAATTACTAGCTTGAGAAGCATTCGGGTAGTGGCCCGTGGCCCGCCTTCAAATGTAACTGATTCACACAAGAGTGCTTGCTTACGCTTTCTTACATCCGTGCTTCGAATGTGCATGCAAGTGTACTCATTGAACTAGTTGCCATGCTTCATACGAAGAACAAATGTCCCGGTTACTCGAGATCGTAAGCGGACGTAAGGTTTCGCAACATAGCTCGACATAAGCAAATGGTACTGCGTGTCCGGATTTTAAGGTGCAATGCTTCGCTTCTGGACGCAGGCAGTGCTACTCATGTTATCACGCAATCAGTGTGCGAATTAATAGAACGCTGCAACGATTTTTTTACTTTGCGCGAATACTGCTTAGAACGGATACCTGCCGTTAATGACCTGTGAAACACCCGTTCGTTTTTCACCACACGCAATCGGAGTCGCATAAAAAATTAAAGGAAAAAGAGCAGCGTTCACCCCCCTCATCTCGCAGCCAGAACAAGCGGTCACGTGATCTGGAGCCGATTATATGCTGCCAAGGTTGATCATAGCCACGCGATGGGATTGGCAAGGCACATGACACGCGCTGACTTCCAGAACTTTTTATAGTTCGGCTATTGTCGTCATTGCAGCGGTTCGACACGGACCATTACCCGAATGCTTCTCGAGCTATCGGTTATCACGAGCCTAAATCGACTCGAGTGCCCAAGCAATGCTCGGTTCTAATCTATGAACCGCATTCAAATATCGTCACTGGGCTGTACTGGACCACCCAGCTACGTTATTAAGTTGTGCGAAGTACCACTAAGCTCGTGTAAAGTGAAAAAAAAAGTCAAATTGAATATTGTTGCACCACCCCTTTAGAGTAAGCCGTTGCTGTTTCTTGTTTCGAAGAGCAATCTCGTAAATTACTGTGAGAGTGCGAGGTGGAGCGAAAAGACAAACACAACCCCAAGATATTAAAGGTGTGCTAGAAACATCTTGAGCAAACTCATCTGATCATTCGGGACTGCGTTTTATATAACTATCGGTTTGCTAATTTTTTAAAGCTCGGTAGACAAAATCGCTTACAAAGAAGGCGAGTGAGTTTCTGAATGTCTGACTCTGCCCAGAACTGCGGATTTTTCTGAAAAGGTATTGCCGTGTTCTGCAACGATTAATAATCCTTTGTGTTATGATATACTTGGCACAACAGCAGGCAACGGCTTGTGTTTTTATTTTTCTGCATGCGCCGTTTGGTCTCCATTGGTACAGAATCTCTAAACCTTAGGAAAAGAACGCTGCGAGGTCTTTAAACACATTTACTTTTTCCCCGGTGCTCCTTGGTGCCAAAATTAATTAATGCATTCGCGCTATTTCGCCAGAACGGTACATAAAATAAAAAAGAAGGGCAACATTTTCTACCCTGAACTAGCCAATGGAATAGTGCAGAAACGCGAAGTAAAGTTCAAACGATTGGGAAACCCTCCAAAAATAAATCACTCCCAACCGATTAACCCAGTATAACTTTTCGCTATCTGGTTAATGCAACTGGAAATCTATCCGGATTCCATCTGGATTTCAGGTTTTCAAAAAAGTATTCGTTTTTATGCAATCTGGATTTTAGGTTTCCAGAAACAATTTCAGTTAGATGTCCAGTTCTATAATCCAGATAGTGAAAAGTTATACTGGGTTTTCCGGTACATCGAAAAACCCAAGACAACAGCACTGCACACAACAAAAGCAGCCCTATAGGACTCTTTTTGTTGCGTGCAGCGCTGTCAAAGCCTAGGGTGCATGCGTCTAGCCCTAGGATATAGCTCGTAAAATTTCAGCATCTACACCTTTTGAGTTTACAGCTTTCGTGGATATATAAAAACCACCATCACGGGGGTGATAGAATTACTTTTATGACATGCGTGAGCGTTAATATTTAGCGAGCGTGCTTTCCCGCTTTGACCTTTGTGGCCGTCCATACCACTTCCTGTTTTAGATGCCGCGTTCATTTCAGTGCCGAGTGTCACGCAATCGTTATTAATATATGCGTGTTAACTGGAACAATTCGTTACGCTTAGCCCACCTCATTAAGGCCCCTTTTGTTTCTTTCTCGCTCCGAATACACTGAGTTTTATTTCGATCCAGTAGCGCAAACCTTCACAACCCGTCTACAATTAGTTCTCGTTACACCGCCAGAGCAACAAACAAACAAAAAAACCTACTCGTAGAGAAACTTTTTAAAATTATTATTTGATCTGTAACTTGGGTTTTAGCAACGCGACCCCGAAATAGCTACTGCTCGTCGTTGTGTTTTTCTTTCACAGTGGTTGCGAAACAAAGCTGCTTTCGAGTGAATTTTTACGAGCAGAGCGAGGCTTTAAAAAGGGACAGCTATCTGATGACAACTGAGGCGTTAGTTAATGCTGTGTCTACAAAATGCGTTTCCTATTTTGTGCTGAAAAAAAGTGGTCGCATTAAAAGGAACGGGTGCATCTTTTATAGAATCGTAACCGTCGTTTCATCCACCTACGAGGCCCCGGCAACTGCCGTCCGCGATATGGAAACGCAGCGCTGTCGCGCGCGTACGCCGTGCCTTAATGACTGTGAGTCGTCTTTCCCGCGCTTTTCCATTTCCGCCCCAAGATGGATTTTTATTTCTGGTGTTGGCGGTTCATGAAGAGGGGAATTTGTTGTAATACCACCTCTCAGAGGTTTAAGCCTCGCTTATATTGTCGGCCGGAGCTGTTCCTTCTGCATTATACAAAATGATACAGAGCCGGGATTACAGAAGGCCCGGATTTTCTTTTTCTTTTTTCTATTGCGTAGCAGCCTGTTGAAATCCGAATTTTACGGTCTTTGCGGTTCCTTTGTTTGGTTTTTTTTTTCAGCCTGCATAGCTTAAAAGAGTCATATAATATTTTTATTGGGAACGAAAACAGACTGCGTTCATAAGGCTTAGACATCTATAAAACGTAATGTAGAAGCGCTTCTTTTTTTAACACTAATTTATAAGGCTAATATGCCATTTCCTTACCAACTACCTGTTTTTCCTAAAAAAATAACTTTTTTTTTTCCTTTGACAACTGTGAATCCGCTTTGTACAGCTCACTGGAATTGGAACCGTCAACATTTTGGCCCGTCGGTAATGTAGTTCCGTGTAACCGCGAAAAAAAAAACTGAATGAAATCTAAATTTCGAGTTTTGCTTTTGATGTAATATGCTTTTGACGTAATAAATATGCTTTTGATGTAAGGCTCGTCCAAATATCAGCCGTTAAGTCCTTATATCGAACTCTTTTTGTTCACGTACCGTCACGTTCCGCCCGTTTGAAGAAGCGCGGCGGACTGAGAGCCGAAATCCGCACATCATCCCGCCACATCGCTGTGTCCTTCCGCTGGATAAACTCCCCAGTGCGCACTAGACAATACGCCTCAGTTTAAAGGCCAAAACGAAGCCAACACTACGGGCCGATCGTAAACCACTCAAGCAACGGCAAGAGCTCGACATCAAGCCGTATAATCACATCGGTTAAATCGATCGAGTGCAGTGAATGCGCCGTGGGACTGTGTTTTTACATAGCCTCCTCTATACTCGCAAAGCCTGGCAGTTCGACGACGAAGCCATAGAGTGACCGGTCGCCTATTCGGAGCGCGAGGATCTGGTAGCACAGAGCACCAAAGAGCCATTTGTTGGGGAACCTGGACGTCAGCGCACAGCTTTTGCAGCGGCGAGGACCCGAAACACACTTCTTCGATCGGGAGAAGAGTGTTTTGGCGTCTCGCCGCAGCGGGGCGCCAGTCACGTCGTTGTCCTTTCATCCGTTGTC